GCTTCCAGAGAGGTTGACTGACCTTGGGCACTAGGATGTTAAAAAAAAAAAAAAAAAAAACATGTAAAAGAAAAATCCTCATTAGAACCTTCCATCCTTTGGAGCCCTAAACCCCTTTGTTCACTTGGTGTATAAACCTTTACATCTGGATTCACTGAGTTTCTCCTTCCTGAGTGTTCCTGCAGGTTTGTCTTTGTCTTGTTAATCGGTCTACTGTCCATTAACTTTCAGGGTCTCTGCTGCACATTAATTTTCAGGGCCTCTAGGCTGATAGAGGAAGTTTTTCCTTCCAACAGTTTCATTCCCCCCCTTAGTTCAGCATTGAATCTCCATCTCCTGCCTGGTGGCCTCTGATTCAGAGATCCTCTTTTACCAAAAACAAACCTGACTTCTGCTGGAAGGGTATGAGCAATTACCCACCTGGGCAGATTTGGGGACAGGACATAGGAGTCAAATGTCTGTCTTTGTTTGTTTGTTTTGCCAAGGATTAAAGCCATGGGCACTTAACCACTGAACCACATCCCCAGTCCAGCCCCTTTTTATTTTTTTATTTTGAGGCGAGGTCTCCCTAAGTTGCTGAGACTGGCTTTCAACTTGCGATCCTCCTGCCTCAGCCTTCCAAGTCACTGGGATTACAGGAATGCCCCATTGTGCTGGGCTCAGCCAGACTTCTTGGTTTTCAGCCAGGTCTCCCCATGGTCAAGCCCTCTTCACCCTCCTTTCAGCAATGCACAGCGTCCCCCAGGCTTGAGATCCTGAGGGGTCTGGGTAAAGCGTGGGTGTTTAGCTTCCCCACTGTTAGTTCAGGCTTCAGCTCCTCCAGGCATACCTGAGCTGCTGTCTGCTCTCTCTCATTCTCTCCATCTTTGTGAGCTTCTGAGTTAAAAATATATATGTATCCCTTTACAGTTGCTTTAGGGTTTTCAAGAAGTATAAAATTAATCGTGTGTGTTCAATTCACCATCTTTACCTAGAAGTCTCCATTTGCATTTCACCTTTGAACTGATGGGCTTATGCTTTTTAATAACATCCTTTTCTGGTCATTTCCATGGGCTCTGAGGAAAGTGTAAACTAACAGATGGGTTCAACCTGCCATATCTAACTGGAATTGGTTTGTTCTTTATTGAACGTCTTTCTAGAGATAAATGTCTGTCTCCCCCACTAACTGAGCTGCTTAAAGAGAGATTTTTTTTTTTTTTTTGGCCTCAAAAGCCAGCGATGGCTGGATGAGGTAGGTGCTTCTCAAGATTTATGAGTGGGCCTGTGCCTTCATGCTATTGAATCTAACTTCCCTTCTCTCACCTTGACAAATGGGCATTCAACAAATAAATATTTACCAAATATTTATTAAAGATCTACTCTTGCCAAGTGATCTCCAGGCCCCAGGACTGCAGCAGGGAGCAAACCTGACTGAGTCACTGCTCACAGGGAACTCATCTCCAGCTCTGAAAATACCCCCAGGAGCCCCTCACCTGCCAGGGCAGCCCACTCCATTACCAGGCAGCTGCAGCTGGAGCCGGTTCCCTGTCACTTTAGGTCAGTGGTCTGAATTCCTCCTTCAGAGCCCCCCTGGTCTGTGGGCCAGCCCTCCTCCAGTCAACTGCTGACTGTGATCCTGGCTCCCTCCAACATTCCTTCTTCAACCTCCCTCCCTCATCCTTCCAGGTGCTCCTCCCAGGATGCCATCGCCGACCCTTCAACACCCTCCGATTCCCCTTCCTCCTTCCCCATCATGGTCTGGACTTTCTGTGAACTAGGAAGTCCAGGCAAAATTTTAAAAATGTATTTAGTTTTTGTCCCAGGTTCCTAGCACAGAGCTTCAAAAACCTCTTGGGATTTCCTGAGTGCTGGGAGTGCCTTTGTTATTCATAACTAACCTCTTCCAACCATGCCTGAGTTTCTGCTCATGACAGGAGTCATGGCAGGTATCCTAGACAGTTCCAAAGCAGGAGCTGGGTTGGTCCTCAGGCAAACCATCCAAGTGATTAGAGGTTGGAACTTTCACCCTTAGTTTCCAGGGAGAATATGGGGGCTGGAACTGAGCTCAGTCATGTGGTCAATGACTTAATCAATCATGCCTGCCTGATGAAACCTCAATAAAAACTCTGAACCAGGAGGTTTGGATAGGTTCCTGGTTGTGAACATATTGATGCTGAGACACCAGGAGGGTAGTGCACCTGGACTCCTTGGAGACAGAAACTCTTGAACTTGGGACTCTTCCAGACCTTGCCATATATATAGCTCCATTGGGGTTATTCATTCCTGGCCTTTAAAATAAAATAGTAATCATAAATATAGTGCTCCCACTGAGTCACTGTAGTGAATTGTCAAACCTAAAGGTGGGACAGGAGGAAGTATAAGAACTTCTGAATTTGTAGCTGGCCAGGAGGAAATGCAGGGGGCTCAGGAACACCCAGGATGTTGAGTTGGCATCTGAAGTGGGGCAGCCTTATGGGATCAAGTCCCCTAAGCTGGAGGGTCTGTGCTAACACCAGGTAGTTGGTATCAGAATTGAACTGAATTGTAGGACACCTAGCTGGTGTCAGCTGCTGTTGGAAGACGGAAAATAAACCTGCTGTGATTCCCAGCACAGCCATGTCCTTCCCTCCCAGCTGGACATGCTATCTGTCCAACTGAAGAGGATTCTGTTTCCCCTCAGAGCACCATTGTTGATGGAATAGTGTTAGTCAGTTTTCCATTACTGTGACAAATGCCTGGGGGTAATCAACTTATGAACCAAAAAGGTTTGTTTGGTTCAGTCTTAGAGATTTCAGCCTGTGGTCTGTAGGTGCTGCTTCTCTGGGGCCTGTGTTAAGGCAGCCCATCATGACAGGGAACACATGGTAGAGTAAATTGCTCCTCTCACGGCCAGGATGCAAAAAAAAATAAAATAAAAAAGAGAGAGAGGAAGAGGAAGGGGCTGGGATTTCACAATCCCTTTCAAGACCAAAGCCCAGCAGGGCGCGGTGGCACATACCTGTAATCCCAGTGGCTCGGGAGGCTGAGGCAGGAGGACTGCAAGTTCAAAGCCAGCCTCAGCAATTTAGTGAGGTCCTAAGCAATTTAGCAAGACCCTGTCTCAAAAAATGAAAAGGGCTGAGGATGTGGCTCAGAAGCTAAGTGCTCCTGGGTTCAATCCCTGGTACAAAAAAAAAAAAAGGGGGGGGAAGTCTTCAGAGACTCACATTATCAAGAGTGCCTAGGGTAGAGGAGAGAAAGCTGAACACTTCCTGATGCCTATATCTCCATGTTGGAAGGGAGGTCTACCTCATCTCAACTGGACAGTTATTTGGGGTCCTCTACAACGTCCTGCATGGGTATGGGCACCCAGCGATGCTCAGTGTTGGAGGGTGTGGGTTGACGGTGAGGATCGACTTGCTCTTTGAAAAGACCTTGCCCTTCCTCCAAGCACCTTCCCTCCGCAGCCTCCCATGAAAGCTTCCCTGACTTCTTGGAGGGTCCTCACCTGACTTGTCTCCTGTTGGGCAAAGACACGGATAGCCATCATACCCTCGTTTGGGGGTTTTGCTGCTGTTGTTATTGGCCTTTGCCACACAATGTTCACCTGTACAGGTGGGAGGTGGTTTGATGAGTGATGTTCACCCTGAGGTGGAGTGGTCTGGCCAGGTGCCCCACTTCCTGCTGCATAGGAGTAGGAATGACACAATAATAATTTGCACCTGACATCGCTCTGCAGGCTACCAAGTCCTTTCTATTATCAGAGTCCATTTAAGCCTCACAACCTGGTGTTTATCTCACCATCATCCCCATTTTTACGAACAGGAAAACTGAGGATAAAACTTAGGCAACACAGGGCTGCGGTTGTGGCTCAGTGGTCGAGCGCTTGCCTAGCATGTGGGAGGCACAGGGTTTGATCCTCAGCACCACATTAAAATGAGTGAATAAACCAGGCACAGTGGCATGTACCTGTAATCCCAGCTACTCGGCAGATTGAGGCAGGAGGATCTCAAGTTCAAGGCCAGCCTCAGCAACTTATCGAGGCCCTAAGCAACTTAATAAGACCCTGTCTCTAAATAAAATATTAAAAAGGGTTGGCGACATGTTCAGTGGTTAAGCACCCCTGGGTTCAATCCCTGGTGCCAAAAAAAAAAAGAATAAATAAAATAAAGGTATAAAACATGTATCCATTTTTTAAAAAATGAATTAGGCAAGAGCTACAAAATGAAGAAGAGGAATAGGGTCTTCTGATTACATTTATCTTGAGCTTTTTGTTCCACGATTTCATGACCCACGGGAAGACAGAAGGGGCTGCTGCGGTGGGTGGGCAAACAGGCAGCCGGGATTGGTGAGGAGGAGCTGCTGGCATCGCAAAACCCTCCCTCCCCACTCCGTCCAACAATTTGCTCTCCAAAATCACCCTAATCAAAGGAGGCCTCACTGAAGATGATTCAGATGAGGCAGAGCGAACCAGGAGGGGACTAACTCCCTTCTGAGAGGAAGGAGGCCCTTAGGAATATGTAGGCCTGTTTCCTACCTAGTGCAATTTGGGGGGACTCTGAGTCCCTAGGTGCTGTCAACATTGATTTTCACACCAGGGAACAAGCCCTGAGTTAGACATAAAAGTTTTAAGATCACTTAAACATAAATGCCTTCAGATAAGGTGACCTAGGAATTCACACAAGCTGTCCCTCAGGGTTTATGTCTTTTAGCAGTGCTTTGGATTAATCCCAAGCCTTCGTGTGTGCTGGGCAAACACCAACCACCAAGCTACATCCCCGGCCCAGAACTTGGCTCCTAATGCAGGTGTAAATGACTCCTAGGGAGACTGCTGAAAACAAGGTGATTTGCACAGAACATGAGGACATTCAGTCCCTGCAGAGGGTACAGGAAGAGCCTGGCACCAAAGAAAGTCCAGGTGTCCCCATATACCTTGTTGAAAGCTGCCTCTGCACCCAATCCCAATCTTGTGATGTGTCAGGATGACTGGTGACATCCTCTGCCACCCTCACTTCCATAAGGTCATGGTATTTTCCCACCTACATTGTTTTTTAAGTCAAAGGAATTTTTTTTTTTGGTACCAGGGATTGAACCCAGGAGTGCTTAACCATCGAGCCACATCTCCAGCCACCCCGCCCCCCCGCCTTTTTATTTATTTTTTAATTTAAAGAGACAGGGTCTTTCAAAGTTGCTTAGAGCCTCACTAAGTTGCTGAGGCTGCCTTTGAACTTGCGGTCCTCCTGCTTTAGTCTCCCGAGCCACTGAGATTAAAGGTATTCGCCACCGTGCCCAGCAATCAAAGAAATATTTTAATCTAATTTTTTGCAGTGCTGAAGATCAAACCCAGGGTGTTGTGCATGCTTGGCAAGTGCTCCACCACTGAGTTATACTCCAGCTCTTCAAAGCAATGTTTTTAAGTAAGTAGGTTCCTCCTTCCTCCCTTCAGCTTTCTTGTCCTTAGACCCTTTGCTGGCCCTGTTCTCTGTGTGGCATTCATCCACTACCTGATGGGAAGAAACTGGGAAGGTAGGCTTTGTGGGAGAGTGTCACTTGGACTGGGAGCTGGACAGTAAATGGTTTCCGATTTGAGAAGACACCTGAGCGAAACCAGACTCAGGCACCCCACTCTCACACTGCAGACCCCACAGTGATGGGGACTCGACCCAGGGCTTGCACATCCAGCAGAAGACAGCTCACAGAAAGACAGAAGGGCAGATCTGGGAGGCCGGCACCCCTGGTGCTGTTCTCACATGCGCAAGAAGAACCAGCCAGCGGATAATGGGAAGGAAGGTGGGGGGCTTCTAGATGCACCTGTGTCAGCCCACCAAGGAGCCCCTCCCTCCTGTCCTCTGAAACGCTTAAGCACCAGATTCACTCAGCCTATTCCAGAGCTAGTTCGCTAACCCTCTCCAGCCCACACAGCCACCTCATGGCTCCTCTGAGCTGGTTTCAAGCAGCCATGAGGACTATGAGGGAAGAAAGTACTGCCACTCCACAGCCTGGAAAGAGTGCTTCCTGAGCCTCAGGGGCCAGGTGACACCACTAGCTCCCCTAAGGGATTTCCAGGACCACAGAAGGACAAGGCTGGGTGAAAGAGACCCTCACCCTTGCCAGCAGCATTTGAAGCTGCTGGGGCCAGAGGACTTGCCCAAGGCACACAGGAAATAGTAGTGGAAATGCCACCCTCCCCAAACCCCAGGGTTCGTCCCAGAACTGCCTCTTGAGCTGGCTGCTTCTCAGAGGCTAGTTCTGGAAGGTTGAGCCCTGCTCTGCTGAGCATGCCAGTGAACACCCCAACATTCCTTGAGGGGGTCCTGCGGGTGAGCTCCAGATGGACTGGGGGGACTGCCACCGTCCATGGCTTCTTTCCCAGCGGCTCTGCCAGGCTCTGGCCATGCACCACAGCTGTCTGCCACTTCTGGGGATGGTGATTGCCATGTTTGTAGCTCCTCTCCTTGTTTGGAAAGATCTGGAGGCAGGTGAGGCTGCAAGGAAAGCAGGAATGACAAGTTGTGATCTGCCGGTTTGGCGCTGTGCTGGAGCGGTCAGGGAAACCTGTCTACAGGCGCGGGGCCGCCTCCACCTCTGCCAGGCTTGCGCGCTGGTGGACTTGAGCCGGTCTCCTCCTCCAGGCTCTGCAGGCCCTTCTCCACAGCCACCAGACCCCAGGAAGTGTCCCCTGGTCCTCCCACCACCACCCCGCAAGACTAAATAAATCCACACCTCCATTTGTCCCTCTCCTCCCTCCACGGGCTGTCCTGCCTCATGTCTGACTCAAATCTCTGGCTCCGATACGATGCCTCGTCTTGGAGGAAGGAACATATTATGCAGTCGTGCTGGTCCCTTCCCGCGCACTTGGAGGGATCCACCTAGGAATCAGTCACGTTGGGATTTTTTTCTCTGCGCCTGACAAGGCAATTTGTGAGGAGCAGGGCTTTCTCTCCGGCAGGATGCTAAGTGGGTGCCGAGGAGGTGGGTGTGGGGGTGTTCTAAAGAGATACCCAAATTAAACATCCAATCTGCCATGTCCTGTGTCATTCAACGCGATTCATCTTCTCTCGTGATCCCCGCTGGGAATGCTCCCAGAAGCCTGTGGACGTGCAGATGCGGTCTTTAGTGGCGAGCTGTTTATCAGCCTCCTCCGCAGAGGAGAACAAATGGACGCCCCGCGGCCCACCCGCCCCATTGTCATTCAAACAGCCGGTGCTCCGCGATCCGCAGCCTGTCAAACTGCCTCCCAGGCCCGGCTGCGGAGGGATTCCCTGGAGACTGTGTGGGAGGAGACAATGGGCAGGAAGAGGGGCTTGGGAATTTCTGGAACTCCACCACCCCCAACTCATATTGTCGGCCTCTGTGACTAAGTAGGTGCTGGGGCCGCAGCTCAGGGGTCCGGCTGAGTCTGCACATTCTAGAACCCACAAGGGACTCCCAAACTGCCACCAAACCTGCCCTCCCGTCCACCCTTCTCTGCATGTAGGACCAGGAGGTAGATCTGGCTCAGGGGACCAGAGGAAGCCCCTGAGCCCCTTGAGGTAATGGGGATTGAACCTAGGGGTGCTCTACTGCTGAGATACATCCCCAGCTCTTCGTATTTTTTAAATTTTGAGATAGGGTCTACAAAAGTGTGGAGGCTGATCTTGAACTTGCCTTGAACATCCCACTGCCTCAGCCTCCTGAGTAGCTGGGATTACAGACCCTGTGGCACCAGGCTCAGCAGAAAAGGGTTTTTGTTTGTTTGTTTGTTTTGATATATATCTGCAACATTACCTTCCACTTCCTGAGGTCCTGGGGCTCATGAATAATAACCCCATCTGGCCAGATGTAGGCATTCTCCCCAGATTTGGGAAGGTGAAGACATTTCCTAGTGGGAGACTTAAGGTGATTTGGTCTCAGAATTTCAGGAGGAGAGGTGAGGGAGGGAGGACCCAGGGGTCTGGGTCCCAGTCCAAAGGGCTCATCAGAGCTTCCCTGGCCCATAGCTCACTCCAGGCGCCACCTTTACGCAAATCCACCCATCAGTTCTCCAGGGCTTATTCTGTCCATCCAGTGCCATCAAAAGGACCCTCCCCTGGATGCGCCTCCACCACTTGGACCAACAGAGAAGGGATGGAGAATCAAGAAGGAAGCAGCCAGGACGCAGCAGGTTTCCTTTGAAACTCTGGTTTGTGCCAAGGGAAAAAGAAGGAATGGATACCTCACTGGATTCTGGGCTCCTTCACCCAGAATGGTAGCAACATTTCCACATCTTTAGCTCTACACTTCTCATCCTGGCTTCTAGTCTCAGCCCTGACACTAATTTTCTCTGTGAATTATGTGAGAGCAAAATATGACATCCCAGAATATGACTATAGCAGACCAGAATATCCCACCCTAAAATATGCCTGTTTGGCATCAGAAGTATTTTGAGCTGATTATTTTGAGAAGCAGCAGACATGGGAAGCTCTGAAACAGAGGAGCCGGTGCCCTTTTGTAAGGGAAGTTTACATCTATAAAGGAAATCTCTATTTGTAAGTGTCTCCTTGTAAGAAGCGAGACTCTGAATCATCAGAGAGCTTATCAGTGGAGAAGGCGCCAACTTTAATCTGTGTAACAAACCTAACCCATGTGCACTGTATTTTGGGGGGGTCACCCCCTCATTACTGGGGTCCCCTTTTCTTGTTTCTGCTGAAGATGACATTTCAATCTGAATTCTAAGCCACCACTTGGAGAGTTACTTATGTTTTCCAGGGCATCTGCTATAATTCTGACGTTGGATGTCCACTAAAGTTCCGTATATTCAAGGCTTGGTCCTCAGGGTGGCACTACTGGGAGGTAGTGGAACTTTTTAGAGGTGGGGCCTCATGACAGCTCCTTAAGTCATTGGGGGGGTGTGCCCCTGAAGTGGATTTTAGGACCCTTTCTCTTTCTCTCTTTCGCTTCCTGGCCACTAGATGAGCAGTTCTGCTCTGTCACACACTCCCACCATGACATGTGGCTCGCCACAGGCCAAGAACAACAGGGCCAGTCTGAACGGGAGCCTCCAAAACAGTGCCAAAATAAATTTTTTCTCTTTATAAATTGATTCTCTCAAGTATTTTGTTATAATGATAGAAAGCTAACTAGCATGGCCTCCTAGGTATGCATGAAGTGTATGCATTGTTTTTCTCTTGTTAATCGCCTTTTGTTACAAGGGTCCCAGCCTAGGAGACTAAAAGGAGTAGAAGGAAAAGGCCTTTTTCCTCTTTTGCAGAGTCTGGAGGGCCAAGCGGACTCTCTGTTGCTCGGTTTCCTGCTTCTAAGCTAGCAGGGAGTTTGGATACAGATGCCTGAGATCCACCCAGAGTCCCGATCTCTTTCTGGGCCTTTGCCTCCTGGTCTGGGGCAGCAGGGAACACCAAGAAGGGATTCCTGGAAGTCAGTGGCACCAGGGCAGCCCCAGTTGCCAAGATGGGTCACAGAGAATCCCCCTTTTACCTTCTGGTGGGTCTGTATCTGAGTCTAGGAAGATGAATTCATAGCAGACAATTAATAGGAGAAAAGGCAGACGCTTTATATGTTCACGGGGTATCACAGGAGATCGAAGACCCAGTAACTCAGCGAGATTTAGAGGCTTCTGTATCCTCTAGCAGGGGAGGAGGGAACAGGGCATGTCAGGAATTTAGAGGGAGGGTAAATAATTCTTAGGAAAGATGAACGGGCCAGAAGAACAAGTGATATTTTGTGACAAAGTTCTTTTGGGCTTTGGACATGTTGTCAACTCTAATCTTTCTTCCTATGATGTGCACCTGTTGGGGCTCAGCAGAGGATACCCCAAAGACTGTGGTTTTTTGTTTGGTTGGTTGGGTTTTGTTGTTGTTGTTGTTGTTTGTTTTGTTTTTTGGTACCGGGGATTGAACTCAGGGACACTTGGCCACTGAGCCACATCCCCAGCTCTATTTTGTATTTAGAAACAGGGTCTCAATTGAGTGGCTTAACACCTTGTGGTTTCTGAGGCTGGCTTTGAACTCGCAATTCTCCTGTCTCAGCCTCCTGAGCTGCTGGGATTACAGGTGTGTGCCACGGCGTTGGCAAGACTGTGGTTTTGACACACCTCAGAATCCAGCTCCCTCTCACCTTCCCCATCTCATCTTCTCCATCCCCCCCAACCCCCACCCCAGTGCAGGGGACAGCTTTCTGCAAAGTCTGTTTATCTGCCTAAAGTCCGGGTCACCAACAAGAAAGAATGACTTCCAATCCCTTCCTCAAGCTTTCATGAAATGTCACAGGAAAAAAGATGGGAGTCTGTCAACTCAGCTGAAGAGACTTTTGTCACATATCATTGTCCTCAAAGATCCCACAGAGAATCACTTACAAATCATCATCTTTTCGGTAGGCCAAACACACTGTCCCGGCTGTTTTATGGTCCACAAATTCATTAAGTTCCCCTAAGCATCATTTACTAGACCCCTCAATATCATTTACATTCCCCAGTCTTCGCCTCCTCTGCAGAAATGGAGTACACAAGTTTCTGAATAATTTGGGGCTAACAGATGTCACACTCTTGTGATTTAACCCTGTCCTGTGATTCTCTCCCTCCTCACATTTTGCACGTTAATAAATCTGCTCTACTAATTAATTTGTCTCTGTTAGTCTATTGCAGCAAGCCTGCAGAGAGCAAGGGAAACTTCCTTGCACCCCTTACACATCAGTCTCCCCGATGGATTTGACATCTGGGAAAGGGATTCACAATAACTGAATATACTCCTGGAGGATTCTGCTGCTAGGAAGAGAGGGAAGCTTCAGAGAAACCTGTCCTGCATTTGCTGTTTTCTGAGCTCTTTCAGTTTGAAGTAATCAGCAGACCAAAGCGTCATACTTTGGGGTATTGTTTTCTGAGCCCCAGTGCAAATACTCTGTCCCTTGTTCTTGTCATTTCACTGATACTCATAAGACTGAGAGAGTTGACACTTGCTTTGGAAAATTAGCCCTAGATGTTCAGAGCATTCACTATAAACCTCTTCCAGCAATAGAGCAAGGAGTTGGGGAGCATCTTGTCTCCCAGAGAATATTTGGTCGAGTTGCTTAAGGCTGGGGGTGGAAAATCAGTAACAGGGTGCCCACCATGTCTAGGCCAGAATGTTCTCCTGCTATGTCACAGAGCTGCCTGTAGGAATAAATGCTGGCACCCCAAGCTGGGCCCTCTTTACCTGGCCTTCAGTGCAACTAGCCACTTCCCACAGGTGGTGGCCAGTTGCTAGGCAGCGCCGACTGGCTTCAAGAGGAGTGATGAACAGGTCCACGTGGCTGGAGAGGTCTGACACCATGCTACGCTAATTCTTCATAAGCTCTGCCTGCCGCCTTTTATATATCAACCTGAAATGTAATTATCTTTATGGCTGGCAGAGTAAATCACCAGTATGTGTCAAAGAGATTTGCTCCTGTGTTTTATTACGTAATATATTAGCTCTACAGTTTTAAGATGTCATTACTTGGCTAATGGAGGGAAACGTTTTCATAAGCAAACAGT